GCTAATGACCTGTGACACACATGCTCTCTTTGTCTTTCTCTTGGGCCACCATGCCATACAAGAAACTTTTGCCCATCAAGTTTTAACCTACTGGTGAGGCAAGTCAAGACTCTTTTTGCTATTAATACCCCACTCTCATAATTACAAGGGCTCTCTTTTAAGCTAAGAAGCAAACATAGCTGGATTTCCTAGGTGCAGGAATGTGACAGCTAACAAAACATTACGTGCCAACATCTTAGCCTCTGAAGAAGTTATCAAATTCATTAAGGGTGGGTCATGAGATAGGTGGAGAAGCAGGAGGCACCAGCAGTGAGTCTTTGTAAACATGAGTCTCCAGGATTGAAACTCACCCAATAAAGTACACTGTGCTCTGGGATCTTGAATCAACATGGATCTTCACTGCAGCCTTAAGCCAGTGACAACAAATTGGCCAAGGAAATAGTGAAGTTCTGTAGAAAGATGAAGCTGGCTGAGGCAGAATGAGGCTGTCATTAGGTTTCCAGGAACTTGATGGGGTTTGACTTAGAGCAAGGAGTCAGCAGAGTAACTAGGGGATTTTACTCCTCTTCCCTGGCAGGAAGACTCCTCTGATAGTCTTGAAATCTTCCTACGATTAGAGTGCAGGTAGGAGACAGTTTGTCATCCTCTGACTTGTGCTCTTTTTTCCTCACCCCTCTTTAGCTGTGGATCATGCCCACGTTTGGGGCTCACCCCGTCTTCGAGAATGGGCTGGAAAAGTCATTTTACGGCTACTCCACCTGGTTTGTGATCGTGAACTTTGGCCTCCCACTGGGCGTGTTCTACCGAATGCACTCTGTGGGGGGACTCCTGGAGGTCTATGTCACAGCCTGAACCAAGCTGACTTCCCACCCTGGAGGCTGGGGTGAAACAATGATGCTGAACAAAGATGCAGGAAGCGGCAGATATGCACATGGAAGCTTTCAAGCTTTCTCCCTCTGGCATCTGCTTTGACTTTTCCTTGCACAACATTTCCATGCATTTCAAAAGAAAAAGAGGTTGGTTTAATAGAAAACATTTTTTTCTCCATAGACTCAAAGCCCATACACAAACTGTCTTGCTGCTCTACAGAAGCTGGTACTTTTCAGCAGACTGCCAGTGGATGCTGTATGGTACCAAGTAGGACTTCATAGCTCCTACTGAAATCTTCCAGATAAAAGAACGTGAGAGCAGCCTTCAACAAAAGCAACAAAAATTGGCCTAAATTCCACACAACTTCAAAAATCCACAGTCAAGGACCACCAGCCCCACCAGTGCTCACCAACCTGCCATCCTGCAGCACAGAAGAGACTGACACCAGCCACACAGGAAGGACACAGAGCCACAGTCAGAAACAAACCTCAATGCACACTTTAACTTCCAAAAAGATGCTGGTAGCTGCTTTAATGGTCAGAAGTGGGACTACTTCTGTTTGTTCCTCGTGCTGACATCTGGCACATCGATTTGTGCAAGTCCCAACGGGCCCAGCTCCACTGAGTGCCAGACTCTTGCAGCTCTCTGCACTGAGGCAAGAGAGGCCTTTAGACCTGCACCAGTTCAGTGAATCTTTCCCCCTTACCAAAAATAAAAGCTGTAGCATGACCTTGCCTTACCAAAAATAGTTTCTCCTCACAGGCACTCGCAGAGTATCAAGTGGGAAGCATTAGGGCTGCCCTTTGCCTGGTGCTGCTCGTACATGGTGTTACCACCACCAGTGTGTACGAGCAAAGGTCCCACCTTTGCACACAGAGCCAGTTCAAGAGAGAGCTACGGCCAGCTCTACTGTGAACCCCTCCCTGCCCCAACACTTCCATCCTCGCTGCTCTTTGCACATCCCCAAACATTTCACAAGGTGCACTGTGCGTGAAGGAACGCAGCTGCACAACGTGGTGCCTGACCAAAGACCCATCAGCTTATCCACAGGAGCTGCTTGCTTTGAAGGCACACAGGAGAGAAGGGGGCTCAAGACTGCGGGTCCCAAACAGAGCCTGGTGAATGGAAATAAAGAGAGACTGAATTTTCATGCGTGTCTTGTGAAATCTCTGGCTCTGCTCTGCACTCAAGGATCACACTCAAAGGCATTAACTTACACCACTGTGGTGTTCAGACACTATAGGAGATTTAAGGGCAGGCCTTGTTTTACAATCCATCGAGATCTTTCATGACTCTTACCCAAAGCCAAAGTAGCATGGGTACAAAAGGCATCTGTTATTGCTTCTGTCTCTCTATAAATAAACCCAGAAGCAGGGTGGGCTTAGGATCAGAGCCTATTTATGAGTTTCTTCTGTGGTCCCCTAGAAAACTCTCCCAAAACAGTAACAGTGATGAGAACTAGAAACTCCTGACCATACACATCCCACACCCTTTGGATTCAGCGTTCGGGCAATGACAGCACCTGTCTGTGAAAATGTTAAGGGAGAGCTTGAACTTTGCCCAGCAAGTGTTTTTACTTAGGCCTGTGTCAACAGAAATATGTCATGAGAAATAGCGGTTGGATAAATTAGGCTCCAATAAAGTTAATTATTATTTTCAATCACAGTCTGCACTCATGGATCTACAGGAGATGTGTGCCAAGGTCTGGCCCTTTCAAATGATGAACGTGATCTCAAACCCTTTTTCTAGTTTTTCTAGACAAGCAGTGAGGTACTTTATGGGCAAACCCATGACCTAGATTTTATCTGCACTCTGATTGACAAAACACTGTTTAAGTTACTGAGCCTCCACTGAGTGGGTGACTTGGGAGGTCTCCCACAAAGTCCTGTAGGCACTACATCCAGGTGTGGACTGAAGAAGTCAGTGTGTGATTTCTCACTGGTAAACAGATGGACTACCTGAATATTCAACCAGCACCAACAGGAATGAAGCCCACCAGCTCCAACTCCTATGCTGCAGAGGAAAGTCATAAGTCCTGCAACAGGCAACAATAAAAGCACTTTTCCAGGCCAGAGACATGCAGGGTTCAACGTTACAGCCTTTCACCTAGAAGGGTTCCATCTCTGGACTGATTTTTGTCTCCCTCCAGGAAGGGTAAGTTTGTGAGTGAGTAGAAGTGCCTCTGGCTCCTTCACGAGACTGACAGCAGGGCTGGGCACAGCAGCCCCAAAGCCTAGTGAGAGGTGGGCAGCCGAGACTCCTGCACCCGGCCCAGCCACCACAGGGCAGGGACCCACCTGCTCCTTTCTCATCTGCTCCACTGCCTTCTGTCATCTCCCATCCACTAAAGACTTACAAAGCTCCCCCAGGGCCAGGCTGCCTGTTTTATGGGTTTCAACAACACACAGGTTTTAGCCCACAGTTCACCAAGTCAGGAGACTCGATCGTGTTTGACCTAGTTGATTTTCTGCACCTCTTGAGGCAGTTGCATTTGATGATGTCTCAGACCATAAAGACAGAAATGGCCAGAAACAGAGTTCAGGCTCATTTTCCTGAGTCCAGTCTACATTCCTGACTACAAAAAAAACCCCATCACACACTGCAGAGGAAACCAGCACCTGGTCTCCCAGTAGCATAAACCACCCCACGACAAGACAAACAAGATTAGAAACATCTCTGGGAAAAAATAAGCAACCAACTGCATGTTTCAGATAATCTTTATCTTTCTCTCTGTAAGTAAGCAAATAGTTTACAGTGCAAGTTGATTTCCACAGAACAAGGATCAGACTCCAAACACCAAGAACCAAACAAAAAGGTTTCCAGAAAAGTCACAAAGAAACAAAGCAGAAAAGAGAGGACGGAAGAGATCATGAGAACCAGCAGATCCATGGGAGGGAAGAGGCAAACACATGGGACACAGGATGCCCCATTCCAACAGTGAGGTGCAAGTGCCATACAATCAGAGGCTGGTCCCACCAAATCACAACTGTAGATATGAGAGATTCCAAGTAAAACCGAGACCTCGCGCTGTTTGGATCAGAACAGAGATATGGTCAGGATGGGAGTAGTGCTAGATGGCAGAGTAGGTGGGAGATGGGAGGTGTGGGGGGGAATAACCTTTCTTATTTCATGAATTTCTTATCCTTCAGAAAACAATTCAGGTTTTATTTCCATTTTCCACTGGCCTGGGACTCCAGTCCACCTGCAGTGTCCAAAGGAGGAAACCACCCATCCACAAGCCAGCAGGAGCCAGCAGTACCCTGGAGCAAGAGAGGGTGGTCGTGTTACCATCACTCCAGCTCCAGAACTGAGGCAAGGGTTACAAGACACGTGTGTGTGTGACATACCTGTCCCCTTACTTTAACCTGTGAGACCAGTTTCCATGGAGTGATCTCGCTGGTTCTAAGCTATGGCAAACAGCTCACAGCCAGTGAACCTCCCAAGAGCCTGAATTCCAGAGCACCAAGGACTAAGCTTTGGTGGAGAGGGAAAGGTCTCAGTTCATGACAGGACCCCTCACATTTCATTGTCTGAAGACCACACAGGTCTAAGACAGAAGCCCCTCCCAGGAGAACATATCCTGGGCACTGAGTTTAATTTTGTCTCCACCTACCAAAGTGC